GTATCTGACTCTGCTACACTGATATCTGACTGTATTACACACTGGTATCTGACTCTGCTACACTGATATCTGACTATTACACACTGGTATCTGACTGTATTACACACTGGTATCTGACTCTACTACACTGGTATCTGACTGAGCTAATATGCTGTATCTGACTTTACTATTATTTAAATTATGCACAAATTCTTGATTCTTTGTTATATAACCATTGGCACTATATTATCTTATGGTCTTATGAGCCCGAAGGATGAGAAACCGGATTTTATGTTACAATCCGGGCACCCCCCCCCCCTCACCCCTTTGGGCAAAAACGGTGAGGCTGAACTGCAAATTCTCTTTCATCCTTGATGGGGCCTCACATATGCAAATAACTCTCCAGCTTTCATAGTTGACCAAAACGTAGAATCTAGGCCACAGGCTCCTTCATCCACAACCACAAATGTTAACTCTTCCGGGGAGACAGCTTCACACTGTTTTGCTCAGTTGATGAAGAAAAAGCTCTGTCTTAACCCTAGAAGCGCTCAGCGTTTCACTGGAAGTAACCTGCCAAAAATGCCCTGCCGCCACAGCCGATCAGTTGTAAACATGGGGGTTTGGCGGGGGGATATCTGCTACTGAAAAATGACCATTTATGGCTCAACAGACGATAAATGGCATAATATAAAACCATATATCTTTTCTTAAAGCCAAAGCTGATAGAATGAGCCATTCTAAAATGATAAGTGATCAAATAAATACTTGTAAAGCGCAAAACACGATAAACTCAACAATTAGTACTTCAGCACGGCGAAACAAGTGACAACACATAGCGTGTAGTCCCTCAGCTGGACTGCGTCACTTTATCGATCGATATCTCGGCCAAGAGACACTCTACGAAGTCAAGATAACTTGCAAAGTCATTGGTCACTATTTATAACTTTGGCCTGTAATTGACGTCATTTTCCATATAAGGAACACTGGAATTTTCCATTGAAAAAGGTCAGCGTCAGGCCCTTTATATAGGGCCTGCGCGCTTCCCGGTCGAAGTAGGTCAGCCCTATATATAGGGCGAGCGCGCTTCCCGGTTCATGCCCTTTATACAGGGCCTGCGCGCTTCCATGGTTAAGGACTATTTTTAGCAAAATATCGCCGTAACTGTTGTTTCAACGAAAGTAAGGGAGGTTGCTTTAGGTTTGTGTGCCACTCTTTTGGGGCTAGATTTAGATTTAAAAACAAAGTTTTAAACATTCTTTTTGTTCCAGTTCCAGACAGCTGGAAAAAAAAGTGCTGCCCCACCCGGTACGATTACTCTAGACCTAGAATCTAGATTAGACCTAGATCTAGGAGAACGGGACCGTAATTGTACAGGAGTGCCAGTACTGTACTAGATCTAGAATCTCGATCTAGATTTTTAGTAGGACTAGAGTAGAGCAGCTGAGAAAAGAATCTAGGGGAAGATTGAAGGGCACTACTTGGATATGGTGGTCCCGACTTTTGTGTAGTGTAGGCAACTGAAATATCGATACTGATTCAAATAGTCGGCATCAATGTTTTATTGACAGTAGCCTAAATTCTAAATCTAGCCTACAAAATGAGCAGTAAAATTTCACTTGTTTTTCACAAAGCAACGGGGGTTGCCCCCCTGACTTAAAAAAGAACAAAACATGGGGTGTTTCATGGGGGCATCTCTGAATTTGACCATGATTTGATGTTTTTTTGCAATTAGATTTGAAAGGCTATCTCTCCGGCACGCGAATCAAAAAGTAATCGTTAAGAGTTAGACTTACAACCAGAAGTAGAAGTAATCGTTCTAGATTTTCTCTAGGACTCTAGGATATTTCCCTGTCACAAAAGTCGGGACCACCATATCCAAGTAGATCTAGATCTAGATATCTAGATCTAGATCTAGTGCCGATTGAAGAATACCGGACCACTCGTACATTATTGCGCGAGAAAGTGGGGTTGGTGGGGGAGGGGGGTCTATAGATCTACCGGTCCGAGATTCTCCATTGAGAGATATATTATTATTAAAAGAAAGTGGCTATTCTCACCCGCCGGAAGTTCTCGCAAGATCAACTCCTCCCCTCTTCTCTCTCTCTCTTTCTGAATACTGTCTATCGGTGTGGACGATCAAATTGACCGAAACAAAGTTTAAAAATGATGTTAAACACACAAAAGTAAATTAATTTGGTTGTCTACAAAGATGCTATGGCTATTTAACTTTTCGAATCGAGCCGAACTACGCGGGTCGCCATTTTGTTTTGCCCGGAAATTCTCGCGCTACTCCTCTCTCTCTTTCCACTGCCCACAGACAAAATTGTACGCTTTTAGTAGGCTACAGTTGTAATGGAACGTTTGTTCACGGCACAGAATTCTACAATTTTTCTGTTATCACAGTGTAGAATTCTGTGGTTTAGGGTGAACGCAAAATTTGGTGAACGCGCACCGGGTGAGAATAGCCACAAGACTCGCCTGCACTATTCTCACTCCATATTAAAAATGGGAAAATTATGAATTCCTAAGGTTGAGACATAGGCAAAGTCAGTCCGCTGGTCCGGTATTCTTCAATCTTACCGAATCTAGACCAAGATCTAGATTTTGGCTAGGCCCAGATCTAGACTCTAGAGAACAAGATCTCTCTAGCAGTAGAAGAGAAGAGTAGGCCTAGAGTCAAAGAGCAAGCATGCCATAAATTTGCATTTTGCTGAATCCCAATTCAATTCACTGCTATTCATTCTAGAATCTAGATCTAGATTCGATTCTCCAGGGGGAGATGGAGTAAAGAAAATAGTCACCGTAAGCTACGTCATGCTCAACATGATTATAAAGGTAAATAACGATCCAGATGGGTCTTTCAGCCCATACATGACGCCAAAACATTCATCTCTGCCGCCAGACGAATGGGCGGATGTGGTCGTCAAAACAACTTTTTGGCAAGGTCTGCAGCCACAAAAACAACTCGTTGCGTCCTCAACAAGCATACATAAAAGCAAGCCCTCGGGGATACCAACAAAATGATTTGTTTATCATTCATAACGTCGTAAAGCTTACCAAGCATAAAATACAAGTTGGAAAGTTTTCCCGCTGTCTGCAACTCACCCCCGAATTACGTGCAAACTCCCGCCATGTTTGCTTGAACTGCGGAAGTATACACAACAACACACATGTTCAGGTGTTACCGCGTGATCATTCTGGGCGGAAACAAATCCTTTGGTTGTTATGTCAACTAAACTATCAACAATTTTTTGTTACAAATTCCCGAGACAATTGCCATAGATTCTAAACTACTGTGCATTCCGGATTTAATAAGAATATATATTTTCTGAACCAAATTGAACTACTTTTCAGTCGTACCGGTGTAAACATAATGTTTGCCCCGGAATTTTTAGATAGCCTACTGTGGAAGGTTCATCAAAGAAACGTTAGGCTCAGACGTCTGGCCTTGGCCTGGACTCTGTGCCTGGGCTCCACAACGATCACAGAATTCTATAGGCCTACTTAGATCTATCGTTTACAGAATTATGTGATAGTGGCTGTCTTTAATGTTCCTTTTGTTTTGTTTGTGTGCGTGTGTGTGCGTTATTTTGTTTATTTC